GATCAAAGAGGCTAAAGGCAAGAACTGCAATGCTGCGACCACAGCCACCGCAGTCTTGACTTGAGTCGATTCTTCTCCGTGGACCAAGGTGCACCGAGAAAGTTGTGCCAGCATGGTATTTTCGGAGCTCAGTGTCTGAGCCTCATAGTATGGAATTGGCATTGGCTTCGATGCGCATCCTGTCAATTCTTTGTGGTTGTCACACACATAAAGCTCTTGTGCAAGATCTGGCGCGAACGCATTAGCAAGGCATCCCTGCTTCAGCCAAGAAGGCACTGTGGAGGATAGGTGGCAGTGCAGGCACTGGCAGCAAGATAAATCGCATGGGTCCTCACAATGCATGTGCAGAAACTTCCAGCCAATTAATTTGTCATAATCACCGAACAATGTCTTCTCCTGTGGTCGACAACCATCACTAGAGCACTGGTCCCAGCAGGCATCGCCTTCTTTCTCCAAAAGGTGTAGGCGATTGGCATTTAGCGGTTCGTCTAACAGAGATACGGTCATACATAAACGAGGAATTTCATTCGGCCGTCCATGTTGTTCGTAGTGGCTGCAATTCGGCTGCGGGACTGAGTCAGGGCAACTGTCCTCCAGCAGGCTGATGGCAGCCGGGTTCGCCCAGAAAGTCAAACAGCACACAAGCTTCAACACCCACACGAAGCCACCAAAGCAAAGGTTGGGCGCCTGCTCGCGCGCCAGGCCATGTCGTGAATGGATGTCAGGCCAAAGGACGCAAAGTGGCTCAGCCAGCAGGATGCGAGGCCTGGAGCAAAGACGGATCGCGGCAGCTAGCAAGAGCGCCCCCAGCGGGATCAGAAAGAACGCTCCGTGCGTGAGGGTGGCCACTTGAGGAAAGCAAAGCATGGAGATCGTCTCCGCCACCACCAGGAGCCTTAGCTTTCCCGCGCAGCCCAGAAGCCTTAACGCCCCCAAAGCTTTCCTGCAGTCTTCCCTTACATTCAGATACAGAAGCCCCGGAAGCCTACACTTACAAAAGCAAGAAGAAGCCAAACGGACGCAACAATGCATCCTGCAATACCACATCATTTGGTCAAGCCGCGACCTTCTCCGGATTCTTACTCTGTCCACTGTAGCTACATCGGAGCCCCAAAAAACCCTCCAAAATTCTAAAGGCCGAGGAACCACACGAGCCGCGCACGCAGCCGGTCCCTGCCAGCCTCCTCGCCAGCTGCACGGAGCCTTGCATACAAGGAGAATTTCGGCATGGCTGCGAGCTCGGACTCGCCTCCGGCGGAAAATCTCTCGCCGGCTACCGGCTACTGCTCATGTCGTGCCTTGTTGTTGGCGCAAGCAAGGCACAGGAATTAAGAACAAATCGGTTTGTTGCTGGTGTTGCGCATGTTGTTGGCCTCCGGCTGCAAATGCCTGCAGTTTCAAGCACCCATGCACACGCAAAGCCATGTGTAACCCGGATATCACTCTTTGGCCATCTGCCTTTTGACTTCCAAACATCCCCTCCTGCGGGGAACCTCATAGAAATTGACCGCAGACAAGCTTGACACACCTGCATCTACCTGGGCACATAAGTGCAGCTGACAACTGCATAAGCTTTTCCATGTTAAAGCTTCACGTGTACTTGCTGTCGTGGCTAATGACGTGTCGGAACCCGTCTCTGGTATATATTGCGTAAGGACTGAAGGCTTAGGAGTTGCTGGTACCCTAAACCCAAAACCCTGAACCACGAAGCGCTAAGCTTGTGGGTTTGGGGCTGACATCGTTGAAGGCTGCATGAGGCTATCCATCAACGTGAGAGCAGCGGCTGGTTACATTTCAGAATTTGAGCGCCCCTCAACTACCCCCCACAAGTCGATTCGCGACCAAACTGACCGAAAAAACATGAGTAGCACGACAAGATAAGCTAGTGATGGTGGTAGTGGTCATAGTAGTAGTCGTAGTAGTCGTCGTCGTCGTCGTCGTAGTAGTAGTAGTAGTAGTCGGAGTAGGAGCAGGAGCAAATCCCGCGCTGCCGCCTTCCTCACGAGCTGGAAGAGGAGGATTGGATGGGCAGCTGCACGCGAGGCCTCGAATTGGCAAGGAACCCCCCTAAACCCTAAACCCTAAACCCTAAACCCTAAACCCTAAACCCTAAGGAATAGTATTGGTGAGCTTTTCAGGCATTTGTATCAAACACTGGCCCGAAACCCCTAAACCCCTAAATCCCAAATCCCATAGACCCTGCAACCCCTAACAACCCGAAAACTCCTGGACCTTGAACCCCCAAAGCCCAAAACCCTCACCCCGACAGCTTCAGCTCTAAGCTGACAGCCTTCGATCCCAAAGCAGAGTCAGGGCAGGAGTCTCCACCTAGAAGCCTAAAAGGTTTCGGGATTTAATGGCTTTAGGAGTTGAGGCATTTTGGGGTACAGGGAGTTAGGGATTTAGCATTTTAGGGATTTAGGGTTCAGGGGTTAGGGTTTAGGATTCAGCAGTTTAAGGACTTTGGGGCTAGGGTGTAGAGGTCAACTTATCCCGAAAACATCGCTACTTCGTGGTTGAAGCATTTACGGCTTGAGGGTCACAATACAAGGCCATGTATGGCTGAAGGATATAGGCCTT